GTGATATTTTGATATTAGAGCCAAGTTATACTTGAATGTGGAATTTAATTGAGATATTCAAATTATTATGAACTTAAGTTACATTTGGAGTAGGCCTTAAGGGTTACTCAAAATGGATGGAACCTAGACTAAGAAGTGGTTTAGGGATTAGTTGACGTGACTATGAGCCGAGCTCTAGCAAACGTAGGGTGACTATGAGCCGAGCTCTAGCACAAATTAGTATGACTATGAGCCGAGCTCTAGCAAACGTAGGGTGACTATGAGCCGAGCTCTAGCACAATTTAGTATGACTATGAGCCGAGCTCTAGCAAATGTAGTGTGACTATGAGCCGAGCTCTAGCACAATTTAGCATGACTATGAGCCGAGCTCTAGCATGAAGGAACATGAGTTAAGTACAAATGAATAACATCTTGGATTGAGGGTCTTGGAAATTGAAACTTTGATTATACTTAGTATAGTTGTCATTGTACTTGTCAAATGCTTCCAAGTACTGACCTCCCCTTCACGGGGGAGGCCACCTCACAGTTTCAGGTAGGGAGTAGAGCTTGCTACTACCGCTCGTTGCTTCGGGGAATTCAAGGAGGAAGGCGGGGTTCGTACTGCTCCTGTTTCTGTTTTGAAAACAATTTAAATAATGCTCATGGATATTATTTCGAATATTTATTTGGGGGCTTGTATGCCCGTGGTTGCCACGTGTGGCTTGAATATTTGTAATTATGTTTCCGCTGCTTAATTAAATATTTTACGTTATGATTGTTTATGGATGTACTATGTGTGAATGGTATTCAAGACGCCTAGTATAGTATGGATGAGTTGGACTGCGGTTGACTATTCGTACTGTACGGCGGGTTGTTGACGTGTCCGGTAGGTCCGGGGCGTGACACCAAGCCATGTTGAGTCGCGTAATCCAGGATTGTGCTTACTGGATATTTCTGGAGGAAATTATGATTGACTGGATAAGGGTCCATCGGGTGCCCCGACTTGCTCTTACCCCAGCCTTTGTTTTTTATTTTGGATCCATTCCCCTTGTCTTGGTCATGAATCTCCTTCTTAAAACTCTTCTTCTTTCTGTCATCAACCCGATGCTTCCCATCATCCTCTTCTCTCTTCCGCTTTTCAGCTTTCTCAACTTCCGCCTGCCGGTCGGCACGTCGCAAGGCCTCCTCATACGAGATCGGGGGTTGTCGCATGAACTCTTTGTGGAGCTCTCCCGACCTCAAGGCTTTGGTGAAGATCCCGATGGCGGATCTGTCATCTAGACCATCAACCTTCACTGATTCATCCCTACAGCAAGCCCGGAAGGCGGTCAAGGTCTCCTAGCGTCCCTGCTTGGAGTCCATGGAGCTGGCAAATCATGCAATGAATGCTTGGAAATTTTGAATCCTCCTGCCAGGTAGGGAGTCATACATTCTCGAGTTGGCCCGTCCAACATCACTGAAAATCCTCGGCATCTGATCGCAACGTTGTACCCCATCGTCATCATATAGGTCATGTACCTAGAGACATGGTGTTGGGGTTGGTCGTTCCTCGGTCCTCAAGATTGCAAGGCTTATATCCCTGTGGTAGTGGGGCATCCACAATCTGACGGATGAATGGCTCGGGAATCCTCACATCATGATTGAGATTAATCCTGCCATCCACCGCCCTTCTGAGCTCGTCAAGTCGCCTTCGAAGGTCGTCATTATCTTGACCGACCTATACACGATGTGGGGAAGTGCGATCTCTGCGGGCTCGCTGAAGTTCGTTGTTCTCGTCTCCGAGATCTCCCCCATGCGCGCTACGACAGTGGGAGGAGACAGCGCGGAAGGTGCTTCATCACTTCGTTCCACCCTGGAGGAGAGCATGTCATGTACAAAGACCCTTATCCCTCTGATTTGATCCATTACTGAAGCCACGGGGTCTGTCGGGAATGATGAGACCGCTGAGACCTAGCCAAAGGTGAATTCCTCTTACGCTGCGCCGATGCCTTCTCTTCCCGTTGGGGAACTGATGGAACCCGGTGAGGGGAAGGAGGTCGTTTGTTTGCGTTTGGAACAATTCCTTGAAAGGCAGTGGCTAAGGTTTCCACAGCCTCTGGAACGTTGCCGAACTAGCCAAGGCTTGCGCCGGATCCACACTCAGGATAAGATTCCCGGTTGTCGGTGTCTGGAACTGTGGTGGGCGTGTTGCATGACACCTAGAGCTCCCACCAACTTGTAGGTGGTTTCTTAAATCGCCTTGAATCACCATGTTGTCGTTCCTTCTTCGGAAATCACTCCGCCGTGAGCGAGACCCTTCATCCTAAATCATGACTTGATCCATTCGGGCACCACCTTGATTGATGTCAGCACGGTTGTGACTGTGTGATCCAACCATTGTCGTCGTAAATCGTTCTCTCAACGATAGCACCAAATGATGGAATTTAATTCCAACTACGAGAGCTAATCTACGAGGGCAATGAAATTTAGGCAGCGTAAGGAAATATTATTATTCCGGAATTTGGATCCTTGGTAAGATGTGTGCAGGAAGTATTTATAGACCTTAGGTTCTAGTATTCTAGGATGACATTGATACATTTGATGCAATTAATTACAATAGAGTCTTGTAACGTCTTGAACGTTGTGCAATCATTGTTCCCTCAGGTCCACGTTCCTTCCGTTATTTCCTGTCGCTGCAAGATAGATATGCTCAAATGATAGCCTACCATGTAAGCCCTAGGAAGAGTCCAACCTCACTAGAACTCCGTCCAGACATAAGGTCTGTTGTCCGGCCTGGCCTTGTTGTGGGTTCCTTTCGCGGGTTGGATTCCTAATTAGGTCCAGTGCTATTCTTTATTATTAATCCCGATTAATGGGTTGATCCCGTTGATAGACTTATCTTAAAATGATTCCTGGGCCATGGTTGTGATCCATGATACCATCAAACATTATTGACTTGGTTTTTAATATAACATTATGACAATTTATAACTCTCAACAATGGAATTTGTCACCCCTAATATATTATTTTTTAGGATGATAATGCATATAATGTAAGATATATAAGTAGTGCGACATTTTTTGTTAGGCTAAATGGTCAAATAGGCCCTCAAACTAACCTAAAAGTGCAACTCCCCCCTTATATAGGTGGCTCTGTCCGGCCGTCACCATTTGGGGCGGTTCCCGGTGGAATTTTTTGATGAAATTTTTTAAGAATCTTCTCATTAAGTCTAGTTTATCCATACCAAATTTCAGCTAAAAATTCAATCGGAAAGATAGTCAAATGAATTTTTGAAGATAACTGTGCAGTTAAAAAGCGCAGTACATTTCAGAAAATAATTTGACTGTCATCCCGGTTGAATTTTTATCTGAAATTTGGTATGAGTAAACTAGACTTAATGAAGAAGATGCTCAAAAAATTTCACCAAGAACCACCCCAAATGGCGACGGCCGGACAGAGCCTTCTATATAAGAGCTGAATTGCACTTTTTAAGTTAGTTTGAGGGTTTATCTGACCCTTCGTCCTTTTTTGCTATGTTGACATTACTATAGCATAATTACTTGTAAAATAAAATATAGGGAAAACTTTCAAATAAACCCCATCACTTTTCAAAAAAATCAATTAGCCCCCTCTACTGAAAATTCATCCAATTAAGCCCTCAAACACATTTTAAAAAGCCAAATCCTCCTTTTAACTGGCAGTGATCAGGTCACCGGTAATTTTTGTACACCTGGCGACAAATGTGACTTTTTCTATTTTCTTTTTCTTTTCTTTCCTCCACCTGGTATCTCCTTCGTGTTTCTCCTTCGACCTGCACTAGCACCAAACTTCAGACAAGTCAAATTCTTCCATTTTCTTTCTTCCACCCACTCTTTCTTTTCCCCCTTTCTTCTTTCTTTCTCCTACCCTTTGTTCGTCGCCCGTCATGAATCCGACTTTGCCTCCTTTCGGAGTGGTGATGAAGACGTATCAGGTGTCCTGGTAGATGGTGGCGGTGACTGGTGAGGGTTTTCTCTTCGCTAATTTGGTGGATCTTCTTAGATCCAAAGTGGTGGGCAAAGAATTCGAGGGAGAAGATGCTCTTGATGGTGTAGAGCCGTCGATCGAGGGAGAAGTGCTTTGTCGAGGATGGATTCATCACTTTCGCAATGGAGATCGAAAGGGAGGCGGATGAAATTTAGTCAAAGTAATAGGGACTTATGGAGAAGACTTTGCTAAGGAGGTTTTTTATTATTAGAAAAATGAAAAAAATGACATGGATATTCACATCAGCAACATAACCGGCGAAACCCAGGAGTAACATTTAAAAGTGCCATTTTGAACGTTTTTTTTTATGTTCGGGTACTTAATTGATTGATCATTTTGTATGGGGGTTTAATTGATTTTTTTATAAAGTAGGGGGCTATTTTTATAGTTTTCCCTAAAATATAACATTTTTCTAACATTACGCGCATATATTTATACTTTCAACAGTGATATGATGACATTGCGTGTAATGTAAAATATGATATATCTTTAGTCATTATGTAACATTATGAATTCCTTAAATCTAGCGATCAAGTGTAATCTTCCTTTCAAATCATCTAAAATTTTATATTTTTCTAAGTTTGTCATTTTGGCATGTTTATAATAATATAATTAGAATACTAAAATAATAATCAAATGCAAATTTGTGTATAGTTTTTATTTAGTTAAATCATACAGAGACGCATTTGATAAAGGATATGGACTAAGACTAATAGTTTGCAATTGTTAGGCTTTGTTGACGGCCCAAATGGCCAAATACATTCAATATCTAGCTTTTAGCCTTTTATCATATAATGCACTTTAAAATTCAAAGAATTTCAACCTGATCTTTTTACAAGCTGATAAAATATCAGCTTCAGGTGAAATCATGACTCTATGCATTCCAAATATTATACTTTATGTATTCTAAATGGCAAATATTATACTTTATGTATTCTAAACACGCTATATTTAGATAAAACAAGCCAACTATTTGATTCGAGTATTCTAAAGCATACTTTGCTAATACGTCAAAATAATAGCATTCCACAAAATTCAATGTACAAGAATGTCAATATGTCATCTGAACACCTTCACAGTTCATACTTTCATACAATACACGCACTCTCATCAGGGGTATCATGTAGAATGACTTATTGTGGGATAATCAATCGAATGACAAATTATCTCTTCTAAGCTCTTCACAACACAATGTTACAAACATAACACAACTCATGATCTCAACACAAAAATTTCCAAGGAAATACTTACAAAAGGCTCACTACATACAGTTGACGCTAGCTCATTAACATTACAATACTGAGACATTCCCTACCTAAGATTATTTGCTATAGTGAACATATTGTACGGTTGACAACATTGCGGGATCTAAAAAGAAGCAGGATAAGTAAAATGATTCAGAATTCCAACTCAAACATACGTTTATCCGCTTTAAGACTGCACTTTAAGACTGCACGATGAGGTCACTCTGATGCTACTGATGCTCTCATAGAACAATCAGAAAAAGTGTTACCGCTTCCAATCCAAATGCCATTGCCATCGTAGAACGATCAGAAAAAGTGTTACCGCTTCCAATCCAAATGCCATCACCACCATGGAAACACACCGATCTAGAAAAACCTCCTCCGTAAGTTCCTGGTTGTTGCTTGATAAGATCTCATCAGAAGTCCAACCCCAATACCAACGCCAACACACATCCCAAGGCCTATCCCCACACCAACCCTCACCCCAGCATTAAACCAAGATAGTTGTCCATCTTCACCTGGGTACATTCCATCACCATATGAGCCATTCACTGTTTTCCCATCTAAACCATAATAATCATCTGCCTCTGTGATCTGCTTAAGAAACAAAAGAAACAAAATTAAGGCTAAAATTAGACAAAATTAAAATACAGATAGATAGTATATTGCCACATCATGTGAAAAAAATAAATCACATGTCCTGTTACCAGAATGGCATCCTGGAGAATCTTCTTAGGAAATATATAGAAATTGCTCTAAATAGGAACTTAGACAAAATGCGCAAATAGGACTACATGTATTTTATTCCCCAAATGGGATTTATTTGATCCTATTAAAAGTATAAAACTTCCCCTATTAGGAGTGAATAAGTCCTATTTTAGGAAGAAAACAATGATAGTCCTATATGTGCACTTCATTTATGTTTTAGTCCTATACTCCTATACAAGGAATTTTCTCAATATATATTTTGATACTTAACTACATATGAACTCTATGAATTGGTAGTAAAAACTAAACTGAAAAAATAGAAGAGGAACAAATCCCAGGTTGGAATTATTTGACTTACCTACCCATCCAAAAATTGCATCCTTACCAGAGACCATGAAAGGTTCTGGCAACATTAGCAAGGGAGCTATCAGAAGGCCATAGTTTTGTGGATTTTGGAAGAGACACTAGCTAGTTCAACAATCCATGTACCCAAGTGGCAACCCACAGTCATAGGTGAATATACTCCAATGAAACTTATTCTACATCAGATCTGTGCAGGTAACCAATGGCATACCGCATATGTATCGCATTCAAATCATCGAAATTATTCCATTCAAAGGTTTTCCTCTAGTTTCTCTCCATTGATAAATCTAGTAAGGCATCCTAGAAACTATTCCCCCCTTCAACAGGGTGGTTTCCTTGGAAGCATTATTCACAGTTATGGGGTGGGGAAAAGGCACAATAGTTTCTCCCACCAGCCCAATACAATAATTGCAAACACGTCGATGGAACTTGGTCCGGTGGTGACTAATAATGGCTACAGATGGGAGGATAAACTCCTCAAGGCAGTTTTCGATTAATTACTTGGAAAGTTATGGGTAAGCTGGTAAGGTTGAGAATAGTGGAGTTTCTTCTTGTAATGCTCACATGAGTCTTTTTACATGAAACTCAAAAATTCACTTGTGCAAAAGACAAATGGAGGAAGCCATTGGTACAAGGAATTTTTCTCCGATAAACGAGCTGATAATATACGGATTATGAAAGGGATTGGAGCAGACTCTAACCAGCTAATGATAAGCACGAGTCTTACTCTTACACAAATGCATTGATTGGATGTTTCATGTTTACACTTGGACTAGTTTCACCCAAATTAGACTTAAACAAATCAGAAAAGACCAGCCTTAAACAGTAGTAAAATATACATATACCATACCTTTGGGATGATTTTACCCAACCAAACCAGACTTAATCAAACCATATCACACTTAAACAATTCAAACAATTCAGACCACACTAGATCAAACTTAAACAAACCAATCCAAACTAAAGCAGGCCAGACTAGAAAATTACAGCCCAAAGTGAAAACATCCTGAAACGCACCCCCCCCCCCCCTTACATAATGAGTTGGTGAGTTTCTTTTTTGGCATAAATTTTTAGTGTTCACCAACTTTAGCAAATTAAGGCAGGTAATGGGGTTTAAGGCAATGGTGAGGATGAAGTAATTAATCTAGCCTTCGATTCAGAATGCCCAAGGCTTTCCTAATTGGCTAATTCTCTTAAGATTATTAAGGAAGAACCCTTTGTATTCTAATTTTGTTAGGTTGCGCCTGTGTTACTTGAGTAATAAAAACAAAATATAAACCCATGCTGAAGAAAGTACGAACGCCCCTGGCCCGTCTCTTTTGTGATTTTTTCTGTGCAATTATTTCATTCTCCATTCAAAGAGAGATTTTGTGTCCATTCTATGCGAGAGAAATCTTATATTTCAATTTTCATTTTCAAATTTATGTTCATATATGCATGTGCATAACATATACAGGCATGCCTGATAGCAGACCACATTTTGTCTAGATGTATTGTCACCTTTATCACTCCTGCAGTCCTTTAATTGCAGTAAATTTCCAAATGTGTCTAAACTGACTGCAAGTTAAAGGGCTAAGGGTAATGTACTGAAAATAGAGAGGATTATGTCACTAATAACTCTTAGATGCTTAGGTACGCATAATTCTGTCACCAAAGCAGCAGATTATATCCACTAAGGTACGACCACAACAGGGATCGTTAATTTCATACCAATAATAATTACCACCCAGGCATTAGTGAATGACTCTGCCAGTGATTTTGCATACCAACTCAAACCCAAAAACTCACCTAGATGGTTCTTCAACAAACTTTTAAGTCATACCACAAGAAATTTGCTATTAAAACTATTACAATTCACAGTTTCACACAACAGAGTTCCTACAAGAATAGAATGAATAGCGGAGCTAAGAAAGAGCTATCCTGAGTAAGAGTGTATTGATACCATTGTTTGACGTTGTAGGACCAATCCATTACAGTTTATCTGGCCCCTCCCTATTTCCTCTTCTTCAGGAATAGCATCCAACACAGCCTGCCTACAGACCTTCTTCTTTGGGCTAACCTGGATGGTTTTGGTCAGTATCACGGGCAAACCAGAGCAGCGCCCGGCTATGTATACCTCAATCGAGGGGGAGCAAAAGCCAAACTTGGGCTGAAAAAAGGACGAGCCTCCTGACACAAGCGAAGCGGCCGTGTAACAATCCATGCTCCAGCCAGTCTTAGAGGAACTATCCAACGCGGCCCCGTTTGTCCATGGCGTCTCCACTCTCGCCAACGATCCACACAGAAACAAAACATCTTTCGTCTCCTGCACCTCAAACTCCACCGGGCCGGAAACTCTGACTTTGTCGGTACTCAAATAAGTCACCTCACATGAATCCTTATCGGCGCGATCAAGGCGGAGTGTGATCGAAGCAGCATCAGAGGCTGGGAGTCGGCATCCATTTATTTCCAACGAGACGCCCATCTCACGGCGGAGAGGGCGGAGGCTTAGGTGGTCCGGCACAGCGTCAACAGCGCACGGCGCAATACGTATGTAGAACAAACGTATTTCTAAACAACCTCCCGTAAAATTCGAATCTTTGTAAATCCTCATCGACAACTCCTCGTCTTGTTTCTCCATGTAACCCCCGATTTATTTATTGATTCCGGAAAGGATATAACAAAACAAAGAGGGAAAGAACAATGAAGATGCAGCGAATTAGGGCTTTCGCGAGAGAGGAGGGGTACAGTAAAAAGAGGGAGGGCAGATGAACAGAAGAAAAATTAGGGCCAAGTGGAGTGTGAATTACACGCGTCACTGTACGTAGCCGCGGTTTTGGGTCCATTGAATTCTGTGGCATTGAAGATATGAAGCACGGACTTTTCATGCGGTGAGGATCATTTTTTTTTTCTAATATCCGGTGTATTACTTTATCAAAAAAAAAAAAAAATATCCGGTGTATTACTCCGTATAATACACGGAATAGAACATTGAGATTTTTATGATAAAAAAAAAAAAACATTGAGATTTTTTTCGTAAATGGAAGGAAATAATAATCTCAAAAAACAAATAATACTACGTACTTCTATATTTTTATTCAAATAAAAGTAATTTATTTTAATTCTTAATTTATATGGCCATGTTTTGACAATATTAAACATTAGTATTGATATGACATTGCCATAATTGATAAATGGTACGGGGTAATGTTTCAAATGTGATAATAATTATTCGTACTTAAAAAAATAAAAAAACATTATCTTCAAAAAACATTATTCGTACGGCGTTGTTTAACTGCGCAGTTATCTTCAAAAATTTATTTGATTGTTTTCCCGATTGAAATTTGGTATGACTAAACTAGACTTAATGAATAAGATGCTAAAAAAAATTCATCAACAAATTCCACCGGGAACCAACCCAAATGGCGACGACCGAACAGAACCTCCTATATAATGGGTGTGATTTTCACTTTTTATGCAAGTTCGAGGGCTTATTTGGTAGTTCTCCCTACTTTAATATGGCAATGTTCTCTTCCTATAGAAAGTGCGCAGCATTCTGCGATATAGGTTTTGGGTCGCGACTTTATCATCATCCTGGTTTTCATCTTGTTTTTTCGGCTTCAACAAGAAGACAATGGATGGAGGGCAATGAGGAGATATGGTGCAGCCTATGGCCCGCGTACTTGCTGTTGGAAAAATGTGTTAAAATTAGATTAATTGGTCAATTTGGGGCAATAATTTGAGTGTGGTTCACTTCTTATTTGGATCGGGTCAAAGTGGTTTCAGATTGATTTTGTTAAGGGCTTCAATTCGATATGTAGTACACTCAAAACGGATAACGGGTGAATGAGAAATTGATTCTCGAAGTTCACTCAGTAAAATGGAAAAACTGGAAAAAAGATGGGTTTCTGGTGTGATTTATCCCACGCCGGAAATCCCAAAGGATTTTCACCCCTTATAAAGGGAACCTTCTTTGAAGGAGTTAAGATTCCTAAGTGGAAAGACTCTCTTTCCACGCGGGAGGTGTCGATCAAATCCCGAAAACAGAGAAGAAAAGTTGTGACGTCTACTGAAGGTCCTATGTGGAAATTGGTTGATCTTCCTTCGGGATAACTTTCGGGATCCAAGTGGATTTTTAAACGGAAAATTAAATCGGACGGTTCCATGACATGGTCATACTTGTAATAAAAGGATACAAGCAACATGAGGGTCTTGATTACTTTGACACGTATTCTCCTGGAACGAGAATAAATTCCATTATAATGATACAATTGCCGCATTGCGGAAATTGGAAGTTCATCAAATGGACGTAAAAATCACTTTTCTAAATGGCGATATAGACAAAGAAATCTATATGGAACAACCCGAGGGTTTTCGTGTTCCTGGCCAAGAAAGGAAAGTGTGTAAATTAATTAAGTCATTGTATGGATTGAAACAAGCCCCCTAAGCAGTGGCATGAAAAGTTTGATCATGCAATGTTAATTAATGGTTTTAAAATAAACGAAAGTTATAAATGCGTCTATGTGAAGAGCACAGTAGACGGCTTGGTCATTTATGTTTATACGTAGATGATATACTTTTTTTTTTATACGTAGATGATATACTCATCATTGGTAGCAATGATCTAATGATTAATTCTACCAAAAACATGTTAATTCTAAATTTGACATAAAGGATATGGGACTGGCCGATTTAATCCTTGGGATTAGAATAATTAGGGGACCAGACGGTTGATAAGTTCATATTTCAACACGCATTTGATGCGTGTTGGGATTGGATTTTGATGATTTTCCTTGCTTTAAGGCGTTGCAAGTCTCAATTTTAGCTCAAGTTGTGATTACCAGGCGTTGGGTCAAGTTTTGTTACATTTGGAGTCAAATTGAAGAAGTTGGAGTTGGCAATCGGCGCTTAAGAGGCAATCGGGAGGAGATAGAGAGCATTGAAGAAGAATTGAGAGATTTGGAGGTCACTGGGTGATTCACGGCGAAATTTTGATGAAGAAAGAGCATTTGGATCGACCTTGTTTGCATCCGGGCGTGTTTGGAGCAAGAAAACAAGAAAGCGGAGCGAAAAAGACGGACGCACTGTCGTGCGTCTGGGACGCACGATCGTGCGTCCATTACGAAAACGCATTGAACCTTCTGGTTGCTACGCACGATCGTGCGTAGCCAGGGAGGCACGATCCTGCGTAGCCCCGAGTTACGCGCAATTTCGTCCCACATCGACCAGAATTGAGTTTTTTCCCCCTTTTTCTTTAAATAAGGTCTCCCTAACCCTTTTTAGGGGTTACGAACATTACGGAGAGGCCTAGGGACGAATTTAACACCGTTTTTACGTTATTTTCTTCCAAGACTCTGGGATTATTTGTAAGTTCAATTCTTTTAATTAGTGACAATTTATTCTATTCATCTCAATTCTGTTGATTCTTCAATTATGAATTGTGAGTAGTTTAATTAGGGATTTGGGGGTTGATGAAGGGGTTAATCATGATGTATGGCTAGATTCTTGTCGGTTTAATTGCATGAATGCCGTTTAATTTGTGTTTGAATAATCTAATTGATATCTTTTGTAACCTAGACTGCAGCTAGAATTACAATTGCATGTAGAATGAATTAAGAGAAATCTAATTTGTTCTAGGACACATTCACACACACTTAATCGTTCGCTAAGAGATTAGTAGCGATTAAGGGGCCGTAAGCTCGCTCGTCTTGGCAATAATTTAGGATCATGTCGCATGAGAGATCAGCCTGGTCCCCTAAATTATTGTACTCTACGCCGCGAGAGCGTAAGAACTTAGTAATGATTAGCTAGGCTCAATTAAATTAAATTCATGTAATTAGGCCTGATCAGCCAGAAATCCAGTTACCCCGGAATCAATTCCTGTTCCCTTCGTCGTTAATTCAGGAAAATCAAATCTTTTTACCTGCTCATTACCATTAGTTTTATTTTAATTAATCAACCAATCTCGCACAATTGCATTTTATTTTATTTATTTCTTTTTAATCGCTGAATTTAGTTAATCTTTAATTCCCTTTTGTCCGTCCCTGTGGAGACGATACTCGTACTTTCAACCACTTTTCTACAACCATTTTAAGTGCGAGAAAACACTCATCAACGGTCTTGTGCTAAGACAATCCCATTACGTTGATAAAACCCTTACGAAATTTAATAACGATGATTATCAAGAGGCAAGGACACCATTAGATAAAAAGGTACACCTTACCAACAATCGTGGAGAGTGTATTTCTCAAGTAGAATACGCTAGGATTATTGGAAGCTTGATGTATCTAATGAGTTGTACCAGACCTGATATTGCCCATGTGGTTAGCAAACTAAGTAGATGAACACTGGAAAGCAATAGTAAGGGTTTTGAGGTACTTACGGAAAACCCAAAACCTTGGACTGCACTATACTAGATACCCAGTTGTACTTGAAGGTATAGCGATGGCTGCGACGCTAGTTGGATATCTGACATTAAGGAATCAAAATCCACAAGTGGATATGTTTTCACTTTGGAAGGTGCAGTCGTGTCATGAAATCTTCGAAACAGACGGTAATAGCTAGATCCACGATGGAATCTGAGCTAATAGCCTTGGATAAGTGCACTGAAGAGGCTGAGTGGCTACGCCATTTTCTTGAGGATATTCCAAGTTGGAAAAAGTTTGTCCCTCCAACATGCATACAATGCAATTGTCAAGCAGCAATCGGCAGGGTACAGAGCAACATGTATAATGGTATGTTTAGACACGTTCGTCGTACACATGACACCATTAAACAACTCCTCACAACGGGTGTTATCACCATTGACTACGTGAAGTCAAAGGATAGCATAACAGATCCGCCAACCAAGACATTGGATAGAGAATTGTTCGAGAAGTTGTCACGAGGAATGGGACTAAAGCTCGTGAATTGGAAAATTCTATAGTGGATAACAAACCTAGTTGGTCCTAGGTTCAAAATGGGCAACTAAATTATAGAGAGAAGGATTGTCACTATGGAGAGTCTCAGACTCCTACCCACTCCTCGTTGAAACAGTGACTCCAGCACGAGGTTAGCAAAAATGTTTGCTTTAATGATTCTAAAATGTTGATCGCTCGATAACATTGGAAGAGTATGTGAGAGAGAAGAGACCCGCTTCAAAGGAGAACTGTATAGGCTCAGTTCTTTAGAAACTCTTGTAGAACCAAGACGTTGACCCATGGCCAAAACGGGCACACGCATGAGAACGTAACAAAGTTGGAATGTTCCTGTGTAAAAATAAGTCAATGTTTACACGACGGCAATATAATTCAAGGACATCGAGTCTACTAGACTGTCAGTAAATTAAATAAAAGTCATATTAACCTGGTTCAAAAAGTAATATTAACACGACGGCAGTATAGTTCAAAAAACAAACAATACTATGTATATTTTTATTCAAATGAAAGTAATTTATTTTAATTCTTAATTAATATGGTCATGTTTGATTAAAAAAAGGTCATGTTTTGTATTATCAAACATTTTTACTACTCGTACGTATTTAAAATGACATGGAGTAATATTTCAAATGTGACAATAATTACTCGTATTTAAAAAAAAATAAAAAACATTATTAGAGTCTCTCGCGAATATTTTATATTTAGAGTATTAAATAATTAATTGATTCAAACGACACATATTGTTTTTAGAGGTGTTGAAGAAAAAAGTAGGCCATCCTCTCAAGTTGGACAAAAGATGATTAATTATCCAAAATAACCTAAATTCTTTACCTCTCTTGTACATCCAATTGATTCTTATTATATACTCAATTAATTCACATTTAAATGCAATTTATGTCACTTAAAAATGTTTCATCTTCCACTTTTC